GCAGTAAATTTAAGTGAGTTTAAGAAAAAGCTTGATAAGTATGTGATTGAAAAGGGCTGGCTTTAAGATTTTTTATTTTATTTTTTTAATCATTTTAATTTCGTTTTGAGGATGGAACAGCAGAGATGGACCAATAGGTCCCATGTTGTCCCAAAATATTATGTTATGTTATACCAACTAACCATATTACTAGTCTAAACTCACACAGATCCATAATATTTTCTGTAATGTAAAAAGATGTGGACTTGTTTTTGTCAAAATTCCTTTATTTTTCTGATGAATCTTAGGTTCTTTTAGTGTTGAGGGCTCTTGGACTGTCAAAACATTTTCTAGTAGTAATATGTTCCCTATAGTTCATGAACCAATTGCATTTAATCAAACTATTTTCTACAAATATTCATACAGAAAAGATTATTAAATATAATTTTTTTTTGTAAAACATATTGTTAATAAACATGTTGCAGTTAGGTCAATATAATGAAATAAAATTAATCAGTTTGTGATATAAAATGTTTTAAAACTAGGAAATAATTTGGAATATTTTAAACTTAGTTTAGAACATGTTTTTATCTGAAATCACAGAAAATGTTTTCCAATGTCATGAGTTTGGTAGTACGAGAGCTTTTTTAACAAATGAAATGTTTTATAGTATGTAAATAAATAAAAAATGGAGGACTGGATTGTAGAGATCAAACGTAACTTGCTCTTTTCCTATAAAGAATATCAATTCAGTTTACTTTAGTAAATTGCTAATAATTTCCTGATTTAATGCATATTATAAAAATAAATAGAAACCTGGCAAATATTTTAAGAGGATTATTATTTTGTCTAGATGCAATGATGTTTGATGTTCTCAAAATAATACATGTAAGTCATGAACATTGAACTATAAAAAAATTAGGAAATCTATCTTATAGTTACACCAATTTCAAAATGCTAAAATTATAAAGTGCCAATACAAAATATCTATAACTTTGTCTTTAAAAAAGCAGATTTTTCTAATTCAGCTTAGTTTTGCTTGTCATATTTATTCAAAATATTTAAATTTAAGAACAAAAAATAACAGTTGTTTTCTCTCTCTTCTTGTAAGACTGGTGGTTTCTTAACGCAAATACTATAATCCCCTCAGTGAGGTCAGTTGTAAGTTTACGGGCCTATGGTGCTAAAATCCAAAATTTAATTTTCTGTGGTGGACAGAGTGCAAGTAGCCCATTGTGTAGCTTTGCATTTAAAAACAAAAACAACAAATATAATAACCCAAAGTTCTTAGATGCCATTGATTTATGGTGAGTGCATACTAAGTTGAAATTACTAAGTGTGTTATGACATAAAAGCTCATTATACCTTAATTCTTTTACTTTTCTTGCAGAAGTATCACAAAATTTTTAGGATATACTGCATTTCAAAACTGCACACATTTCAAAAAGAAAAACAGTTCCAAATATATACTCGGGTAAAAAACCTATACCAGTTCTGAAAGACTCATGAAACTGAAGAAAAAAATAAAAATAAACTGGTTGGTAATACATAAACTCTAATAAGAAATGTTTGTAGAATGTTGTTAAAGTTTTCCACATTTATCTTTCTGTCCTAAATTGTACAAAATTATTAATGCATTAAATGTATTGTAAATCTTACATTATAGCTTTTGCTTTTGGAATTAATATCTAAAACTGTAGAATGTAATATAATAACTAAGAAGTAATGATTTCAATCCTGAAGGTTTTCTTGATCCCAGGGTTCAAAATCTTATTTTTAATTATTAGCATTGTATTTTGTCTTAATCAAAGTAATTAAACTATGTGCATTTCTTATCTGACTTACATAATAAATCTTTGTAAATTTTGGCCACACTTTTTTTTTTTTAATTTATAGCTGGACGCAGTGACTATTAAAAAAAAGATACGTCTCAATCTTGTTGAAAGCGACTGGATATATTAAATGGAACTTTCTGATAAA